ACAAGGGCAGGCTTTCCAGGAAGCCATTTGTCTTCAAGCAATTTCTTGTTGCTGCCCTGTAAACGTGAACCTCCCATGGGGTGAAGTAACATGAAGGCCTGGCTTCCTGCTTTGACAAGGGGAGTGAAAATATACAAATAAAAATCTCAATGTATTATCCTGCCTCAGAGGGTACTTTTTCAAAAAGTATAATTTGACATATAATTGACATACAGTAAAATGCACAATTTGATCTGTTCTGACATATGTATAAACCCATGAAATCATCACCATAATCGAGATAATGACCATATCCATCACCACCAGAAGCTTTTTCGTGCCCCGTTGTAATTCCTCCCACCCACTCCTCCCTTCCCCAGGAAACCACTGATCTGCTTTCTGTCACTACAGATTGACTTGTTTTCATTTTCTAGAATAATATATAAATGGAAGCATACATTATGTACTCTTTCCATCCAACTTCTTTCACTCAGTGTAACTATTTTGAAATCTATCCGTGTTGGAGCATGTATCAATAGATCATTCTTTTTTATCACTGAGTAGCAGAGATGGGAGTGAGGAGCCTAGGGTGCAAAATGCAAGGTGATCCTCGCTCTCAGGATCGTGCAAAGGCAGCACTGGCACTTCCATAACCCTGGGAGCCAGCGCCTCCTTGCATTTGGCACTCTAGGCTCCTCACTTGCTTCATTCTAATCCCCATCCTGCTCTGTAGTATTCCATTGTATAGATGTATCAGAATTTGTTTATCCATTTGCCTGTTGATGGACATATGATTGTTTTCCAATTTGGGTTGTGTACAACAATTAAAGCTGTTATGAACACTCATAAGTCTTTGTATGGACAGACACTTTTATTTCTTCTGGGTAAATACCTAGGAGTAGAATGGTTGCATAATATGATAGGTGTACGTTATGTGTGGGTCTACTTCTGGATTTTTCCTGTTTCACTGATGTATTTGTCTATCTTTACATCAATATCACACTGTCTTGATTACCATAGCTTTATAATAAATCTTAAAATCTGATGTAAGTCTGCCTTCTTTGATCTTCTTTTTCAAAGTTGTTTTGGCTATTCTGAGATCTTTGCGTTTCCATATGAATTTTAGAATCATTTTGTTTAAACAAAAATGCTTGCTAAGACTGGGTAGTATAGACATGTTGATAGTATTAAGTTTTTGACCCATGAGCATTGTATATATCTCCACTTATTTAGATCTTTAATTTCTCTCAGCAATGTTGAGTAGTTTTCAGTGTACATGTCTTTCACATCTTTTGTCATGTTTATCCCTAAGTATTTTATAATTTTTCGTACTACTATAACTTGTAACTGTTCACTGCTAGTACATAGAAATCCAACTGATTGTTGTATATTACTAAACTCATTTATTAGTTCTAGTAGTAGCTTTTTTGTAGACTCCATCTCATTTTTTTATATAACTGATCATATTATCTGCAATCAAAGACAGTTTTACTTCTTTCTTTCCAATCTAGGTGCTTTTTATTATTTTTTTCCCTTGCCTTATTGCTCTATCTGGAAATTCCAACATAATGGGTTTTTTTTATTGAGGTATAATTGACATATAATATTGTATTAGTTTCAGGTGTACAACATAATGTTTCTTTATTTGTATATGTTGTGAAACAATCACCATAATAAGTCTAGTTAACATCCGTCACCGTACATAGTTAAAAATTTTTTTTCTCGTGATGAGAACTTTTAAGATCTACTCTCTTAGCTTTCAAATATGCGATAGAGTATTATTAACTATAATCACCATATTGTACATTACATCCTCATGACTTATTTATTTTATAACTGGAAGTTTGTACCTTTTGACTCCCTTCACCCATTTCGCCCGCCCCCCACCCCCTGCCTCTGACAACCACCAATCTGTTCTCTATACCTATAAGCTTGGTTTTTTTTGTTTTTTAGATTTCACATGTAAGTTAGATCACACTGTATTCATCCTTCTCTGTCTGACTTATTTCACTTAGCATAATGCCCTCAAGGTCTATCCATGTTGTTGCAAATGGCAAGATTTCATTCTTTTTTATGGCTGGATAATCTTCCATTGTGTGTGTGTGTGTGTATCACATTTTCTTTATCCTTTCATCCATCGATGGACACTTAAGTTGTTTCCATATCTCGGCTGTTGTAAATAATGCTGCAATGAACATGGAGGTGCATATATCTTTTTGAGTTGGTGTTTTGTTTTCTTTGGATAAATACCCAGAAGTGGAATTGCTGGATCGCATGGTAATTCTATTTTTAGTTTTTTGAGGGAACTCCACACTGTTTTTCATAGTGGCTGCACCAATTTACCTTCCCACCAACAGTGCATAAGAGTTCCCTTTTCTCCAAATCCTCACCAACACTTATTATCTTTTGTCTTTTTGATAATAGCCATTCTAACAGTTGTGAGGTGATATCCCATTGTGGTTTTGATTTGCATTTGAGCATCTTTTCATGTACCTATTGGCCATTTGTATGTCTTCTTTGGAAAGAAGTTAGTTGAAATCTCCAAGGATAATTATGGATTTGTCCATTTTTTTTTGTAATTGTGTTTTTGCTTCATTTGTTGTGAAGCTCTGTTATTAGGTGCATAGATATTTAGGACTGTCATGAGTTCTGGATGAACTAAACTTTTTCTCATTGTGAAATATCATCTTTATTCTTTGTCTTGAAATTTTTTGTCTGGTAGTAATATAACCACTCCAGCTTTCTTTTGGTTAAGTTTTTGTTGTATATCTTTTTCCATTCTTTTACGTGTAACTTACCTGTGTTTTTATATTTAAAGTATGTTTCTGATAGGCAATATATAGTTTAAACATTTTTTAAAAATCCAATCTGATAATCTCTACTTTCTAATTAGGGTATTTAGACCATTTATATTTAATGGGAGTATTTATATGGTTAATTTAAGGTCTGTATTTTTGCTATTTGTTTTCTGTTTGTCCTATGTTCTTTATTTCCTTTTTTTCTGCCTTCTTTTCAATTAATTGAATTTTTATGATTCCATTTTATTTCTTCTTAACTTAATAGCTATAAGCGCTTTTAAAATATTATTTTAGTGCTTGCTTTATGGTTTATAGTGTACATCTTTAACTCAATAAAGTTTATGTTCAAGTGATATTGTATCACTCATATAGAATATAAGAAACTTTCAATAGGATGATGTCCAGTTTTCCCCTTTAAGTCTTTATGCTATTACTGTCATGCATTTAACTTTTGTATATGTTGTAAACCCCACAATATATTGTTATAACTTTTGTTTAGTCAGTTACCACTTAAAGAAATAGAAATAAGATGAAGAATCCTTTTATGTATTTACTGTGTAATTACCATTTTGAATAGGAAATTTGCTGTCATTTTTATCTTTGGTCTTCTGTTCATAATGTGTCCTTTTTCTCTGGCTCCTTTAAAACTTTTCTCTTTATCACTTGTTGTAAGCAAATGGATTATGATGTGCTGCAGTGTAGTTTTCTTTATGTTTCTTGAGCTTTAGGTCGTTGGATTTCTTGGATTTATAAGTTTCACCAAATTTGAAAAAATTTCCACCATCTTATATTCAAAATTTTTTCTGTCTTTCTCCTTCCTCTTCAAAGAATCCACTTATATGTACATTAGGATGTTTGAAGTTGTTCCACAACTCACTGATGTTCTACTTTTTATTGATTGATTGATTGATTGATTCTCTTTTCTGTCATTGTTTCATTTTGGATAGTTTCTACTGCTGTCTTTAAATTCATTAATCTTTTCTTCAATGTGTAATCTGCCTTTAATCCCATCCAATGCATTTTATATCACGCATTCAAGTTTTACCTCTAGAAATTTTATTTATTTATTTTTTATATTGTCTATAACTCTCCTTATATTTTTAAACACATGCAATACAGTTATAACTGTTTTAATGTTTTCTTTTCTAATTCTAACTTCTATATTAGTTTGGAATCAGTTTCAACTGATTGATATTTTTTTCTCATTATAGGTTCTATTTCCCTGCTTGTCTACATGCCTCATATTTTTTTTTATTGCATGGGACATATTTATACTAAAAAATTATTCGTTGTTTATCTGAAATTTAAATTTAGCTAGGAATCCTGTGTTTTATCTGGCAACCATATGTCCTGAGAGCTCTAGTTCCCCTGATCTCTCCAGACTCTTATCTTTGTCTCCTCAACTCAGGGAATCCTCCAGCCTCTGCCTGAGTTCTCACTCGCTGTGCTGCAGTCTGAGCACTCTCTCATGGCGGTAAGCTGGTGCAATCATAGGGCTCATCTTCTTTGTTTCCTGTCTCTCAGGGATTGCTGTCTTTTGTTGTCTGATATTCATTATATTGAAACGCAATTTTTCATGCACTTTGTCCATTTTTTGTTGTTTTACCCAAGAGAGTAAATCTGGTCTCTGTTACTCTATCTTGGTTGGAAAGTGGAAGTCCATCTCCAGAGGTTATTATTTTTAGCCAGAGGCCAAAACATGGTGCTGATGGGAGCCAAAGCTGTGTTCAATCCTATTGTAGGAGAGTTTGTTGGCTTTGCTCCATAGTTTAATGCAATCAGCTACCTAGAAAAAAAGAATGCTATGGATCATAAAGGGTATATGGTGATTATGAGGATGACCACCACTGTTGGGAAACTGATTAGAAGTGCATGCCTGCTAATAAGGGAATGGGGATAGGCCATGGGGATATTACCAAATAAAGGATAAACCAGCACCTTGTATTATGTTACATTACGTTACAGTATCTGTCAGAGTTTGGTCCAAAAGATAGATTTGGCTGAGGGTCAATGCTTGGATGATTCATTGGTAATAAGTTTGGAGGTAGGGCCAGGAAAAAAAGGCTGAGAGAGTCAGGTTAATCAAACTGGGGTCACAGAGGGACTTAGAAAGATTAAGTCCTCTTCTTTCTTGCCAATAATCAATTACATTCTTCATGAGGGTCTCTGGAAATAAAAGTAAAAACATTTCATCTCTTTACTCTTTGCTTTCTCTTGGTCCAGCCATATGCCGCTATCCTCTGGGCATGTCAGGAGGCCACATTCCAGATGAGGACATCACAGCTTCCAGTCAGTGGTCAGAATCCACAGCTGCCAAATATGGAAGGTAAGGATGGACATCCCAAGAAAGCCTGAGTTCTGGGTTGGACAGGTTTCCCGACTCAAGGAGCTAGGGAAGAAGGGTGGTACCTGGTAGGAGCTGGTGGGAATGAAGGAAAGACATCAAGTGGGCCTGTCTATGTTTTCAGGGAGAGAATTCAGGGCCTGGCAGCATGTGGTGGTCTAGCAACCTCGTTCCAACCACAGAGGCCCTACAACCACACCACTCACAGCAAATGGGTTCATTGATGTGCGGTGAATTTGTTTTACTTTACCTTCTCACTGCGAGCTACCACAGGAAGTGGACTACAGTGGTAGATTTGGGAAGATGTGGATTATGTAGGACACTGGGAGTTGGAAACTCAGTCCTTTTCTCAGGTGGTTTCTGTGAAACATCACTCACAGTGCAAAGCATCAGGCCTTAAACAGCCATTGAAACCTCCAACAAGTTCTTCCCTTCTCTCAAAGATACCTCCCCTAGAAGAGCCAGCCTCATCCACAAACAGAATATAGGGGCTCCTTGTGGTCTAATACAAGGGGTCCTCTAAAGCAATAAACGTCTTTGTCAAAAACTACTCTGCTTGTTAGGGCCTAATCCTCCTCATGGAATCTAATTCTTTTGGTGTAAAGTATTGATTTCTGTTAAAATGGAATCACCCCTAAGAAAAGCAACACTAGTAAACCTCATAATTTCTGTGTCAGTGTGTGACAGATTAGAGTGATGGTTGGTGGGGTTGGAAGGGAGCAACAATGAGTAGGTGACGTCTGTGAGAAAAGGCGCATTCAAGGGAGGAGGGAAAGTGGTAAGAGGTTCCTGAAATAAACCTTATACTGATTTCACAATTTTCTTCACTGGTAGTTCAGCCTGGAGGTAATAAAATGAAACCAGATTATTTACTATTTCCCTGGCATTCTCTTACCCCTCACTCTCAACATGGGTTTCCATGGCTTTTTGCTGGGCTGCCAGGCCCATCTTGCTGGTTAACATTCCACTGCGTTACATAACCCACTCTGGAGATCTTATGATCCCTCCCTCCCCACTCCTATAACTTGATATCCAGGCAAGGAGTGGCTAACCTTGTTACGCTGAGACTGAAAGTGGGAGGGGGGTGGTAAAATGACTCAATGGGGGAGTAGAGGGTAGAAAGGGTTTCAGTGCACGGGACCTCCCTTGAGATCTCTAAATTAGGATGGGAAATAAAGGCTACATATGAGTGGAAGGCTTCTAACTCCCTGGTGGTGACTGTTTTTCTAAGTTTCATGGTGCTCCAGGGAGAGGGAACTGACCGCAAGTGGGTACTGTGGCGGCAGTCAGAGTGGTGGGGAAAACCCCAAGAGTCCGTCTGGATGGGACTCCCAGCCTGCTCTCTCTCCTCAGGACAGGGTAGCTGCTTGCTGTGGATTGGTAAATAACTCTGTGGTTTCATGGTTCCTCCCTCTCTCCCCAACCGTCGTCTTTCAAGGCTGGATTCAGAAGAAGGGGATGGAGCCTGGTGTCCTGAGATTCCAGTGGAACCCGATGACCTGAAGGAGTTTCTGCAGATTGACTTGCACACCCTGCACTTTATCACTCTGGTGGGGACCCAGGGGCGCCATGCAGGGGGCCATGGTATTGAGTTTGCCCCCAAGTACAAGATCAATTACAGTCGGGATGGCACTCGCTGGATCTCTTGGCGGAACCGGCATGGAAAACAGGTAGGAAGAAGAGACATCTAGACCCTGGGATGTCCAGGACCATAATTTGACTTGGGCTAGAAGAGGAAGTATACATGTTGTATAGGTACATGTATCCACAGACCTGGCATGCCCTTGTAAATGTGTGACCCAAGATGAGGGAGGGTGTATAGAGAGGAATATTAAGGCTACTGAGAAAGCTGAGTGGATATATTCTGCTCCTTGAATTGAAAAGAGAGGGTCCATCAAAGGGGGGATGACTTAGGGGGTGAAGAAAAGTCAACGTGACTTCATAGCATCTCCTCACTCTTTCTCTTCTCTCTCTTCAGGTGCTGGATGGAAATAGTAACCCCTATGACATTTTCCTAAAGGACTTGGAGCCACCCATTGTGGCCAGATTTGTCCGCTTCATTCCGGTCACTGACCACTCCATGAATGTGTGCATGAGAGTGGAGCTTTATGGCTGTGTCTGGCTAGGTAGGTCTCTAGAGAGAGATCTTACAGACCTTATTAAAAACTCCAACCCCTGGGAAATAAAGGCAGTCAAATCAGAGAGGGATGGGATTACTAATCACCAAGAAGTGATTCCCTCTTGGTTAAAGAAAGGAATATTGTTCATCCACCCAGTACCTGGAGTAATGCATTCAGAGACACTTTGCTGACTGCCACTGAGGAGTGCTCCTCAGCAGTGCTCGCTGTGTGTCCAGATTGAGTCCTGGGTGGTCACACTGCACAAGATTGCACCCTTGAGGCCTCAGGTAGCTCTGTGGGATGGTTGGTCTGAGCAGCAGGCTCATCTCCTTTCCAAAGGCACTGACACATCTGTGTTTCTTTTGACAGATGGCTTGGTGTCTTACAACGCTCCAGCTGGACAGCAGTTTGTACTCCCTGGAGGCTCCATCATTTATCTAAACGATTCTGTCTATGATGGAGCCGTTGGGTACAGGTAAATTCTGGGAAACTTTGGTCATCAGAATGGGAAATGGCCACTAGAACAGAATAATATTTTATCATGGCTTGGGATCAATACTCAATCAACCAACCAACCAGCGTTTATTTAGACCCTGAGATTTGTGAGATAATTCAATGTAAATTACCATTGTAAGATAATTCAATGAAGTAAAACATGTAATCTTTATTTGCAAGAAACTTAGAGCCTGGTTTGGGAAGACAAAGTAATCACAACGAAAACAATAAATTACACAAAGCAAGGGTTAAACTTTGTGGTATGGACCTAAGTATGGTAGCCATATTTTTTGACCCTCAAAAGAGGACATGTCATCTGACACAAATAGTGGCCTACTTATGGAGACAAAGGACCAGAAGAATTGAAGTTATAAGTATAGTAAATTGGGTGGATCAAGAAGTTCAGGAAGAATGAACCCCATAAATATAAATGCTGTAGAAATTGTGAAAAGGAAACTAGTAAGGCTTACAATAGACAAGGAAAGTTTCTAGGATGAGATGATATTTGGAGCAGAGGAGGTAGGTAGAAGGGGACAGAGGAAAGGAAGCAGGGCTGAGGACAAGAATGACTTGACTATAGCAGAAGCTAGAGCTGTGAACGGCAGAATGACCAATGGCTAGACGTGAAATGGACCAATGGAGGGCCATGGTGGAGAAGTATGTTCAGATACAGTAGGAGTTTAGGTTTGGATCAGAGATGTCCCCACCCATCCCACTTCACTCCAAGCCTTGTCATTCTTCTTCTACCCACTTCAACAATTTTCTCTCTCTTAGCTTGACCTTTGTCTGCAGAGATTGAGCCTGGCAGAGAGGTCAGTCCATAGTAAATCCAGACTAGATGATGCAGGTTGCTAGTGGCTGAGAAAGAGAGATTAGTGAGTCTCAGGAATAGGAGTGTGGAATGACAGTACTTCCAATGGTTTAGATGTGAAGAGCAAACTATTGCCCCCCAGCCCAGCTGCCATCCCCTGGTGAAGATCTGACTCATCCAGTGTTCTATTCCTAGTCACTTCCTTTCCATCTACTTAGTCACTGTTCTTCCCCATTTGCTTAAACTGTCATGGCATTATTTCACTCAGCCCCGCCCCAACCAGCGTATACTCAAGGAATAGAAGAAATTAGAGATTGATTGAATATCTTTGTTAATCAACTGTTATTGTGTGCAAGGAATTTGGCTAGACATGGTAGGTATTCACATATAGTGAAGTCATTGATCCTACCGTTAAGAAGCTCACAGTTAGGAATGGGGGCTACAATAGGATATAAATTACTATGACATAAGCATCAAGTAAGAGATATAGTGTGAGTGCTCTGGGGTTCCAAAGAAAGAGTAAGCTATACTAGGAAAGCACAGCATTGGGAGTGGAAACACCTGGATTCATGTAATAAAAGTTACTTCTGTTTGCTGTGAGTCTTAGGTGATAAAATGTATAAGAAAAGCATTTTGTAAAGGTAAAGCATTATATACATGTAAGTTATTATCTGATTGGAGGACCAATAAAGACATGATGGAATAGATGAAATTGGAAATGGGCCCCAAAAGATGGGTAGAACTTTCACAGGCAAAGAATCTTGAAATGACATTTTAGGTGGAGGGACTACCATGAGGACAAAAGAATCACAGTTGTAAAGTTTAGGGGAATGTCTGGGAAAGATCAACAATTTAGTTAACCATGGGCCATGTTTATGTAGCAAAGTAGTAGATGAGAAGCATAACAGGGCAGATTATGTCATATTTTGGAGAACTTGAATGTCAGAGCCAGGAGGAAGAGGAGGAGGAGGAGGAGTTTTTCTTCTTTACCAACATAATGAGTCATTGAAGATTTTTAAAACTGGGGAAGGACATGATTGGAACTGTGCTTTAGACAGGTTAATCGAGCAGCATGTACAGTTTAGATTTGAGTGGAAAGAGGAGGTAGTGAGGGACATTTTCTAATTCTGAATTCTGTCAGATGAAAAGAATTAAGGACCAAGGCCATAATGGTGACTGTGGGAATGGGAAAGAGGAGGAGACATTCATTTAGGGAACATTTGCAATCTGATTGGATGTAGGGAGCTAGATGAAACATAATAGTCCAGATGACTGAAACAATGGAGAGGACATTTATTCCTTCAACAAATGTATTTTGAGTTCTTACTATGCACCAGGTACTTTCAGTGCAGATGAAAGAGAAATATAATTGACAGAAGTGGGAAACTCAGGTGAAAGATTTAGTTTAGAAAGAGATGGTGATGGTTTTGTCTGGCATATAAGTTTAAGGGACTGACAGGACATTCAAATGGAGAAATAAGGCAGGTAGCTGGAAGTATAGCTCTGAACCCCAGAGGAGAGATCAAAAATAGTTACAGGGATATAGATACAGCCAGCTTCCACTTAATTGAGACAATGAGATATCCAGTAGGGGTGTGGCTGAGTGATGAGATACAAGCCGCCTAATTCAGAGTCTCAGGAAACAGTCATAGTAGCAAAAGTGCTTTTTTTAATTAAAAAAATTCTAAAAGTAGTATATGCATGTTGTAGTAATTCTAACAATTCTGAAGAATATGAAGTAAACAGGAAAAGTTTCTTTCCTTGTCTCTTCCCCCCTTGATTTAATTTTGATTAAGGAGAAACTGAATAAGCATTCTGTTTAATTTATATTGCTTTTCATAAGATTTTTATGGGGCTTTTTATTTCTGGGGACAATAGGAAATATATTTATTGCAAGTAAACTTATGTTCTCCTAGCCTTCTGATCTGTAGAGAGAAGAAAAAGATGGCAAAACCTTGGAAGGGAGATCCAGGCTCTGGTCACTGTGGATAAGGCCAGTCAAATTTTTAATTTGCCAAACATTTTTCAGTGAACAATATATTTAAAAGTGTATCTGTAAGGCTGGCATAATCACTGTTAATCATTTTTTGTAATTCACAAATTTTACATATCGTTAGTCTGGCTGTAACCCCAAGGGTCACATACATTCTTGCTTGAGGGTGAGTAGCCCGATCTCCTCATTTGGGAGACTCCTGACATATCTTCCAGAGCTTGAGATGCAGAGCTTGAGAGGGACGTTCTATATGATAGGTTCTTGCTCTGTCCCTCCATGAAAAGAAGGAAGACCTCTTTACATTCTTAAAATAGTCAAATTAACATAAATACGCATATATCCCGTCTAGCAGTCAGGCATCTGGCAAACTCAACCATTCAAAACAGAGGCTTACACTCCGAAGTGGAAAGCCTGCCAAGCTGGAAAACAAAACTAAACCCAATGCCTGAGACCCTCGTGTAATCCATGCATTCTATTTCATGAGTCTAGTATTCTACAAATGTAATTAAAATTAAATATAAATTAGTATTTAAACTTGGCAAAGATTACTTTTTTTTTTTTCCCCTTTAGTTTGATTTCAAATTGGGTTGTTGGAGATGTAGGGTAGAAGAGGGCATGACTGGCTTCTCTGAAACTGATTCACTGAACAATGACAACATACAGTCATAAAAGTTTCCAACAACCTCTGGGGCCATTTATTTAGTGATGGGAAAGTGCTACTATCTACTGTAATGTTCATTCAATGCATTCATTCATTCACTCATTTACTCATTAACGTATCCATTAATCAAATGCATTTTGATAATATTGAGCCATTATAGAAAGACTTATTATATTCTGTATATAAGAATAGGTAAGGATACAAGGAATTATAGAAAGCTTTTCATATAAAATGATAAAATTTTGTTTAAAAATTTCGCTACTAAAGGAGTAAACATGAAATATTTTGTGAAATCCATTTATGTGAAATTCTTAGCTCTCCACTGGTGTGGAAGAAATGAGTCAATGATATAAAATGTATTGGATTTTTCATAATCCTTCAACCTCCAAGATAATCAGCCCTTACTAAACCCGGGGTGAAAAAACATTGTTTCAGCTCTTCTGTGAATGTGTAATTAACTCCAGGTTCTTCTCTCCCTTTCCCTTCTCCTCTCCTGGCCTGAGCAGCATGACTGAAGGGCTGGGTCAGTTGACAGATGGGGTGTCCGGCCTGGACGATTTCACCCAGACCCATGAATACCACGTGTGGCCCGGTTATGACTACGTAGGCTGGAGGAATGAGAGTGCCACCAATGGTTACATCGAGATCATGTTTGAATTTGACCGCATCAGGAATTTCACTACAATGAAGGTCAGTGGAGTTAGGTGTGGTAGAACTTCTTCAAGGAGGTCAAAATCATGGTGTGATAGAAACAAGACATGCTAGAAAGAACGCTGGGGCGATACCAGCAGAACTGTATTCACATACATAATCTGCTCCTAGTTAGCTACGTGCATTTCACAAGTAACTTCATCTTTCTGGGTTTGTTTCTTCATTTGTGAATAAGGGTGTTAGACTAGGTCATTGGTTCTCATTGTTTCTGTTGTTTCAATACCAGAGTGGATACATTAAGCACAGTGGGCAGTGTCTAGGGCTCTTGAAAATGTTTTAACTTTTACTGTCAAAAGAAAAATGAAATTTTAGGGTCAAAAATTATTTTCATGTGTTTAACACCACAGTTGTAAAATGTAATTTTTAATATATTTATATGGAAGGAGGGCTCTGCAAAGACAAAAGTGACTAGAGTCCATGGAGGTCATTTCATGGCCCTGCCCATCACTCCCCAAGGAGAGGACATACTTATATCAGTAAAGGTGGCTCATTGCAACTCTGATTCTCAACGGAAGAGGAAAGGACTCTGTATCTCTTCCCATCTCTAGAGTTTCCTCCACTCTCGCAGCACTGAAAAATCATGATAGAAGATTCCATACTTCTTCTGTCCCCAGAGTTCTTTGTTTCCTTATCTATTGTAACAGCACATCTATTGTCATCTATCTATGTGTCTGGTCTCTTACTAGATTTCAAACTCCTCTAAGGTAGGAGGACTTTGACTCTGCTTTCTGATCTCTATACCTGAGTGCTTGGCACTTAAATTGTGCTGGCTCAATAAACATTTGTGAGTGAACAAATGATATCCTTTATTGCCTACTCTAACCATTTATAGTTATAAATATCTCTGCCACTTTGGGTAGAAGGAAGAGGAGAAATGATGAACAGAAATAGGACACTGGCAAATAGTTTTTTCTTAACCATAAACAGAAACTTGAAGGAGAGGCTGAGGCCAGGGAGGAGGAACTGCTGTTACTCGTGGCTGGGCCAACATCAGAATTCCAGCTCTCAGGCCCAGGGCTTCAGTCTGTGTTCTCTGTGGGATCTCAGTGACTCTTTGTGCAGTGAGAGGAGTTGGTTACCCAATAAGTGAGATTCAAGGCTGGGAGTGGGGTAGGGTGGGTTTAACCCAAGTCTGATGTAAAGCCTAAAATGTAAATTATTAGATTTTTTTGTGGGTGTGGCTAAAATACCATCACCTAAAACTCTGTATTAGAATGCAAGTATTTTACCTGCCGGAGAGTAAGACATTAAATCATTAATGTCTTAAATGCAATAGCAGAAGTTATTTTGTCAGTTTATTGGCACAGAGTGGTTAGAAGAGAAGGGAAATTTTGTTGAGTGGTTGGATGGAAGCTGAAAGGCTGGGAAAGGTGCAGCCTGGGCGTGTGCTGGATCACGGCACCTGCAGACACTGAGAAGAGCCGGGGGAGGGGGTTACGGTCTGAGTTCCAATTTCTCTGAGGTAGGCCCTCCCAGGAGAGCCCAACATTGACTGAGGGGTGAGGACATCTCTTTTAATAAAATGGTGAGTTTCCTGGTACTTAGCTCAAATGATTATTTTTCTTTTCCCTTACTCAATCCCAAGTATGTTTCAGAGAGAAAGGAATGGAAGGGAAGAAAAGTCCTTGCAAAAAGTGACCAGATTGGATGCTAAACCTGAATTCTAAGCTTGACGAAAACTGGGATTTAAGGATAGAGAGGAAAGTCCCTTTGTTGAATGTAAGAAAGAGACCCCAGGAGCTTTTGTGGTTTACATATAACACCTACAGGTTTATGAAGGAGCATGAGAGGACGCCAGTATAAGCCTCAAGAAAGAGAATAGGCAAGTGAATTTGACCTCACACGTGGATCCCTGTTTATCTGTTATTTTTCCCCATCAGTAGTTGGGTGCAGAATATTAATGACCAACAAATTGGTGACTCTGCCTCTATTTACACTCAGTTCTCAGCTTCAGTGTTTGTTTCCTAAATTCATTCATTCTTCTATCTTTGTTTTTAATTTAGCAACAGTATTTGGAGTGTATATAGCATGAAGCTAGGTTCTGGGAGTAAACAGTTGAATAAGAATTGGCCCCTACCTTGGGACAATTTGCAGTTCAGCGGGAGAAGACAATATTTATTTGCAAAAGGAGGTGTGTAGGATGATATGGAGACCCAGAAGAAGGAAAACTGTTTTATCATTAAAGATTCCTAGTAAAGCAAATTTGTTATTCTTGGCACAAACTTAGGGTCAAAAAGACAGTGCATGTCTATAATATTACTCCTACATGTTAATATGATAATATCTCCTAAGTGAATTAATAGCCATTAGTTAAATGAATAAACATTTAAGATGAGAACAGAAGGATCAACACATGCCCAGTCTGCCAGTGTATTGTTCAAGGATGGCTCTTTGGTAATTGTAAAACATACGGGTGTGCAACATATTATTCTTCATAGCTTTTTTGTGAGGGAGGAGGGAAATATGAATAGTAACAAAACTATGCTTCAAGAGAAAATTTATTGTATTGTTGAATAATGTATATATCCATATGCACCTATGAACATGTATATCAATTTATTATATACCAGTGGAAGAATTTCTAGTCCCACAAATAATAAAATGTATTTTAAACTCACCATAGAGGTAGAATATTTAGTCAGTAGGCTTTGATCTTCCTGAGTCTCTAGCAGCTCCTATTTAAGTAGTTTATCACAGGTCAAAATTATTCAAAAGCATATTCTGCAATGAGAATGTTCCAGAACATCTCAAGGTCACACAGATCTCTAGTATATTTTAATTTTTCTGAAACAAATAAAAAGTAAAAGATGACTTTCATGTCACTGATGTCTTCTAGGAGTAGTTTTTGTTTGCTAGGCAAATTACTGCCCATTCCCCCCCCCCCCCCGGAAGTATAGTTAAAATATACCATGAAAATATATTAATGCATTTAAAAAATGTATTCTATTTATTAAATAAATATGTAAGTCCACAGGAGAATGAAATCCTATGCTATTTATTTGCATTCCAGGAGAATTCTCAAAACATCTGTAGCAGAGATTATTACCTTCCCCACAGGCTACTTATCCAACACTTTGTAGATTTCAAAATATCTGAAAATTCTATTGAAGCTGTAGATGGTATTTCTTTGATTTTGTTCTTAGCCTTGCTCCATTGACTTGTATTCAATAAAGTGGAACTAATTCATCCCAAGGAAGGCATTAACATATGTTTTCATCATTAAAACATTTATAGGAAAATCCAAATGGAAAAGTTAAGGTGATTTGCTCCCTTCCCATGTAGCATGGTATGTGGAATGAGCACTGGACTAGGAGTCTAACGTTCTAGACTCAGTTCTGTTGTTGACTGACCACAGGCAAGTCAAACCTCTCTGAGCACCAGCTTCCTCATTAGTAAATAGAGAGTTGGACTAGATGATTTTTAAAGTCTCCAGTTGCTCTAATATTCTATGATTGTAGTCTTTTTTCGGTGAGGAAGACCAGCTCTGAGCTAACATTTGTCGCCAATCTTACTCTTTTTGCTTGAGGCAGATTGTCCCTGAGCTAACATCTGTGCCAATCTTCCTCTATTTTGTATGTGGGACACCACCACAGCATGGCTTGATGAGCAGTGTGTAGATCTGTGCCCAGGATCCGAACCTGCCAACCTTGGGCCACCAAAGTAGAGTGCTTGAACTCAACCACTACTCCACCGGGCTGGCCCCTGATTCTATTCTTTTAGAGTATCTCTGGTCTGTTTCTTCAGTCATTAAATTTCTATAATCATTGTTGCTTCTTCCTCAGTTAAAAATAAATTCTGAATCCTGTAATTCTGTATTGACTATCCAGAAATCAGGGGAGGGTAGTGAAGACAGTTAAAAGATTACAATTCAGGACCTAGGCAAGACATTAAAATGGAACAGCAAATATATTCTGAGAATGACAGTGATGCTTTTCCAACCTATGAAGACTGTAAATTCAGGAGATAGTGACCAGCAAAGCTCCATTTTCCATGTAACACTGAGCCAGAGGAAATGTTAGTGAGCTACCACGAGGAACTTAACTTAGTTACAAATATGCACCTTCCATTTTGGAAGGAAATGAAACACAGCAAGGTGCTGCAGAGGAACTGTTGTGAATTCTTTGTTCCTTAGGACCCTTAAAAGCCACACAGATATCTGGGTGAAAGAGTTATGAGAGCAGGCAAGAGGATGTAGCTACCTTCCAAAAGACCTTCTTTTCTCATCTCGGAAAATATCTATGAGGAAGACTGGATGTCTTCATCAGAATAGCTTCACCTAAACTGAATTTAATTAAGAGAGATCATTAAGTTTTGTGTCTTTGGCTGAAAAATGCTAATACATAACACTTGAAAAGAGATTTCTAAAGAGAAAGATGAAATTGTTTTGGATTGTGTATTATTTCAGGTTTCCCAACTAAACCTGTTGGGAGGAGTGAACTGGCTTTGGGATGTATGAAGGAGGAAGGACGATGGAGGTCTTCCTCTTACCTCAGTTCAGAATAGCTTGATTTGGGGTAGACAGCAACTGTGTTTGAGAGGATTATAGACTTGAGACTATCAAGGGAAAGGAAGTACCTGAGACGATGTTGGTCCAGCCCTCATTTAACAGATGAGGAGACTACTCCCAGCAACATGAAATGAGGTGGCTAGGGGCACACGGTTGCCTAGAGGTGACTGAGATAGCCACCCAGGTTTTATAAGGCTAGACCAATGTATCGCTGCCACTGTGGGTTCCTAGAAGGGACAAGCCAAAAGACTGCAGAGCACCAACTATTCACCAAGAGTGGTGCTTAGAGAAATGGTTTAGTGTCTTACTGGGTTAGCTTGCACTATGTCCTCATGCTACCTAGCAGTGTCAGCCTGTCACTCACATGCCTCTTTCTCTGCCAGGTCCACTGCAACAACATGTTTGCTAAAGGTGTGAAGATCTTTAAGGAGGTACAGTGCTACTTCCGCTCTGAAGCCAATGAGTGGGAACCTAATGCCATCTCCTTTCCCCTTGTCCTGGATGACGTCAACCCCAGTGCTCGGTTCGTCACAGTGCCTCTCCATCACCGCATGGCCAGTGCCATCAAGTGCCAATACCATTTTGCTGACACCTGGATGATGTTCAGTGAGATCACCTTCCAATCAGGTTGGGAGCTCAGGGGCCCCTTAGGGAAGTGGGAGCAGGGTGGTGAAGGAGGCAGGCATGTGTCTGGAGCTTCTCATGGGCAGATCTCTGGGAGGAGGAGGGTTGTACAGGTGGCTCCTCATTGGTGGATACAGAGAATCTTTTGTGCAACTAGTTTTAATTGTGGAAGGGCAGAGATGAGACTGGAAGTGGACAGAATATTTACTGGGCTCCCACCTATTTGTCTAAAAGAGTTGTAAGATGAAGGATTTAAAATAATAAGAGTACAATGTGTTAAAAACTTTATATAAATTAAGTCAGTTAAGGGGAAGCACACGTAAGTAGCATTAAAATATTTAAAGGAAAATTTCTAAATAAATAATATTTATTGATAGCCTCTATCCTCTGTCATCCTGTAGCCTGGAGGTTATATCTACAGGCTAATTTGATTCAAGTCCAATATTTATTTTTGTCCAGGATTTTTCATAGGTAGTGCTGTGTACTTGATGTTGAACCTCATCGCTGGGATGCAGTGTTAGATTCTCTGACTTTTAGTGATGCTGAGATTGATCTCTGGGCTCAGGTGATTACCTCTTCAGAAGAAAGTTCCCCATAAACTTCTACCTTAGGTTCTACCTTCCACTGATGACCACTGCTTGAATTATTTATTTCATTGGGGATTGTTAAAAGGTGATTTTCTAATGCTTTTATTCCTTCTGCACTTATTAGCTCAATTTAGCTCAGTTTCTTTTCTTTCTTTTTTTTTTGTTTTTGTGAGGAAGATCAGCCCTGTGCTAACATCTGCCAATCCTCCTCTTTTTTTGCTGAGGCAGACTGGCCCTGGGCTAACATCGGTGCCCATCTTCCTCCACTTTATATGGGACACCGCCACAGCTGGGTAATAGGGACTGTGCCTAGTCTTGAAAAGTTAAAAGGCATTTAGGACATTGTCTGTACCATCACAATTTAGTTGCAGGTACAAAACCTATATGATGATTTTTCAAAAGATGCTCAAAGTGGTACCAACAATAAGTGGTCAGAAGGAGAGAGGCCACTAGAGGGTGGATTTGTAATGGACATTGTCAAAGGAGTGAGACTTGTACTGAGCCTGGAAGAAAAGTATATATAGGCAAAAAATAACAGAAGAGAAAAGGAAAGACTAATTTAAAGATAAACCAGAAGACCCCATACTTCCTGATTTGATTTTTAAAAGAAGAAAATTTCGAGAGAGTTTGCTCATTAAGATGTACTGATATGGGCCGGCCCCATGGTGCAGTGATAAAGTGCGTGTGCTCTGCTGCTGGCAGCCCAGGGTTTGGATCCCGGGCGCGCACCAACGCACCGCTTGTCAGGCCGTGCTGTGGTGGCGTCCCATATAAAGTAGAGGAAGATGGGCACAGATGTTAGCCCAGGGCCAATCTTCCTCAGCAAAAAGAGGAGGATTGGCATGGGTATTAGCTCAGGGCTGATCTTCCTCACAAACACACAAAAAAACGATGTACTGATAAAAATATAGAGCATATGTTTAGAAAAACAGGTTTGGTGCCTCAATGCCTTCTGTTATAAAGATTTAATCTAAAAGTAAATGATTATTTTATGTGAAGTTTTCATTAAGAGCAGAAATTTAGATGTTCAAAGGCAGTGTCACTTACACTGTAAGTGTTAACTGGGGAACAATAGATTTCCATGCATTCTCAATGCTTATCTCAGCAGAGTAATTGGTACATTTATCTTATTATAGCTAATTATAGCTTTGGATTATAGTTTTTGACTCCTGGGATCTCTTGAGCTTTAAATCCAATGTCATAATAATATTAGTTTTCAATGGAGCCTGAGGACCCAATTCAGAAAATACCTGAATATATGTAGATGCCAAATGCCTCCCTATTTGTATAATAATGCTAGGAGGAAGAAAAATTAGGATTTTTGGAGAGAATGTCTCTTAGGAGGGAAATACATATTCTAATTCTTGATTAGACAAGTCAGAGGGAATAATTACTTGCCAACATCAATCTGGCAAATACACTCTTGAGATCAAGTCTTAGAAGCTGCAACATCACAGTAAAGGATCCTCTGATATCAATAATCTATCTGTAAGGATGAAGGTTTAGTTTATAAATTAAAGGGTGAGAGCAATGAAGCATAGTGAAAACCCTTCAATAAACAATTCAGTTTCCTTGAAGGAAAGAGCCTCTTAGCACTATGTCTGTTTCATGCCCACTTACACACGGTATTCTCTCTACATTTTGCTGAATTTGAGTCTCACTTCCCATGCATGCTTTATGATAATATGTGGTCACACTCCTCTCAACCACTGTTTCTTAAACTTTTTGTACCGTGACACCTAGTATGTAAAAGTTTAAACAAAAATTTTACAACAGACAAGTTGCCCATACTATGTAGATGAATGGTGGTATTTTTTATTTACTATATTACATGATTTCATTTTTAAGAAAGGCTGGTGGCAACCCACTAAATTGATTTCACAATGTGCTAGGTCACACTCTGCCTTCAGAAAAACCGCTACTTAGCTGTCTTCTCCCCAGCTCTGACTTCCCGTTGTTTTGTAACAGATGCTGCGATGTACAACAACTCTGGAGCCCTGCCCACCTTGCCTGTGGCACCTACAACCTACGGTATGTGTGAGTCCTAGTTATAACAATCTCCTGGCGGATGAAGAAGGGTGGAGACTTGCAAAGGCCTGACTGTCTGTGTAGGAGCCTTGATACCAGGTGGCTCTGGATAAAGAGTAGCCCTGGAAAGACAGGACAGCTCACCTCCAATGTTATGGGCCTAAACTTACTCTCTTCACCGCTGGTTCATGTGATTCTTCAGCTCAGGCAGAGTCTGGAGTTGTTCCAATTGATCCATGAAAGTTTGGGAAGCTTGAGGCAGGAACAGGGAAAGGGACATTTCTAGGTAAGAGCCGTAGTGGGGATCTCAATGAATGGGTGGAAGTCTATGAAATAAAATGCTAGTCTCTCCAACTGGAGATATTTATGCAAAAGTGTATCCACATATGAGTGAAATCATACAGTGTTTGTCTTTCTCTGTCTTATTTCGCTTAGCATAATACCCTCAAGGTCCATCTGTGTTGTCGCAAATGGCATGATTTTGTCTTTTTTTATGGCTGAGTAGTATTCCATTGTGTATATATATATATATATATACACCACATCTTCTTTATTCATTCATCCGTGGATGGGCACTTGGGTTGCTTCCGCATCTTGGCTATTGTGTACACCTGAAATTTGCACCATATTGTAAGCCAATATGACCTCAATAAAATAATGAAGAAAAAGAGTATATCCATTGCTTCAGACAGTCACTGGCTGTATGAGGCAGCCATCCAGGAAACATGTGTGATCAAGTGTCTACAAAGAGGACTCTCAGTGAACTTGAACATGTCTCAAAGAAGACAAATTGTGAAACTGCTTCTCCACCTGCTTCTCATGAGGTGTGATTAGGGGCCAGTAGACCCAGGCTGTGACAATAAAGGAACAAAATTTTGGAAGAATGGAAAACCTCTCCGTTATCCAGTGTGATACGTGAGGAGGAGGAGGCTGCCGTCCCATGGAGGAGGTCTGTAGGATAAAGGAGCAAAGTAGTACAGAAGTAGCAAGACCAAGAACAAGCAGCAGTGTTCAGGTGGCATTTTGTGGAATTATCCTGAGGGGGAAGGTTCTACTTCCCTGTATCTAGTCCAATCTCCTAGACTTGTCCTTGCCCCAGGAGATGATAATATTCTCCACCTTTTTCTTCCTGGTCACAGATCCAATGCTTAAAGTCGATGACAGCAACACTCGGATCCTGATTGGCTGCTTGGTGGCCATCATCTTCATCCTTCTGGCCATCATTGTCATCATTCTCTGGAGGCAGTTTTGGCAGAAAATGCTGGAGAAGGTGAGGAGATGCAGAACAATCATGGTTAGGAAGCTGCTCTGCCCTTTTCTAAGCCACGGTTACCCCAGGAGTAATAGGCAAATTATGAGAATTTATAAATGGTTAGAGAGTTAACTGAGGCTGCCAAGAAGCACAGGAATGGAGAAGTTTGTTGCTGAAAGGAGTCAGAAAAGAATAAGCTAAGTCCATTTTCTTGTTTTTAGAATGGAACCTCCCTAGAAAGATGAGCAAATTCTTCCAGTACACTGAATTTCAGCTCAGGCATCTCCTTTGAAGATTCGGATTCACTGAGTTTGGGAGAGCGTGCAGATATCTGTATTTAAAAAAAAATTAACAAGTGATTCTGATGCACTAAAATTTCTGATAAAGCTGTTCCTTCTCTTCTTTTTCTGTTTGCTTGTTTGTTTTGAGTGTGTGTGTGTAGAAAAACAGCTAACCTCATTAATATTCAAGCCACGTTTCTCAGAATTCTATTTCTACTTCTTTGTGTATTGAAAGCTGTGACTATGCATGCTTCTGAGTGCCTCCTCAGATTCTTTTTGTCCAGCCCAAATTATCTGAATAATTTTTATTACATTTGTCTAACACTTTACAGTCTACAAAGTCTTTTTTTCCTGTGTATCATTTTACTTGAACCTCATTGAATAATAGTGAGTTGGGCATAGTAGTTATATTTGAACTGTTTTTTTGATGAGAAAATGTGATGTGCTTCAAGGTCATACAACTAATATACTGTTTTCTATGCTCGTTCCAATTGTCAGTCTTGAAGTATGTTGGCTTCTTTTTTTTCCAAAATATATGCATTCTGTCAAAGATGGTATATCTATGACTTTTCTTGGTTTCTTAGGCCAAATAGCAGCTCTTTGGGCACTGCTACTAAGAGTCTGGTGCTCTTGGGGTCTGCTGATGATTGTTTCTACCTTTGGCCATGGAGCCCTTCCCTGGTCAATGAGTTCAAATAGATGTGGACTGTGAGAGGTCATAGAAGCTCTGAGCTGTGAACTGCCTATCGAGGGCAGGGAACAGGAGGGAGGGTATAGCCTGATTGATCTCCTCTCTCAGGAGTATGTACTAGAAGAGGGGAAAGGACACCATGAGAATGGACTTGAATCTCCAGAACTCTTTGGATGTAGGAAAGGAGAGAAGGGGCTCAAGTCAGAGAAGTGAGGGGAACGACCCAGACAAGTAGCCTGCAATTCCTTCTGACCTATTCCACATTCAGTGGAGATGGTTGAAGTTTATTTTAAGGTTTTTAGGCAGGAATATTTCACAGAAGAGAGGATCTTTTTGCTTTGCACAAGGACCTTATCATCAGTCTGAAAATGCTTTACCTAATATAAAGCTTTCAATCCATTAATAGTGGCTGAAGACTGAAATGCAGAATCCACAGAGAGCTTACCCACTGGCATGATGAGGTGATATCAAAACCTTTCTTCTTTTGTGTTTTATCAAAACCTTTTCAGAATGCTGGAACACACTGGGTATCTAAATTCCAAGGTGAGGAGTAGCAAAGAGTGGTAGTGGTAGACGCTGGTGGACTGCAGGTTCATTGGACACCTTCAAGCTGGTGTATGTCCTTATTAAATAGTCTGTTATGACTGCATTTTAGTTGAGGGGGGAGGGTCTGTGTTCTCTACTCTATGAGCTATTTTTCTCTTTGAGCCAGAATTTACCACACTTCTCCGGGTCTTTCTTCTGGGTCCCATTGGAATATATTCAGGCGCTGGAGAGGAATGTTCGATTGGAGACTCTCCAGGTAAAAGAGAAAGCAAAACTTTTGCCCTTGAGTGTTTAACTTGGTTCTTCAATAAATTCTTTCCACACCTCTACATCCTGAGTAAGATAACTCAAGATGCTCTGAAATGACAGAAGGTTTCTTCCTGGGGACATAAACTTTTGTGGAAAACCCTTAAAAGCATATGCATAAATCTCTAGAAACATTACTCCAAATAGCTTTAGACTATAGCTTTATTTGTAGGATACTTCTGATGGTGTCCTCAGCATTCTTTTTTTGAGAAATTCAACCTGTATTTATTGAGTATCTGCTCTGTGCTGGGCTCCATCCTGAGTATTGGGGATGTTACTGCAACAAAGAATCTTTTAGTCTACAAGATGAGGCAGACATCTAAGTTTCTTCACTGAGCATTCAAAGTGTATTTCTTGGAGTGGAGCATTTTATATGTTTAAATCCAAATAGTCATATATATTCAGATTCTGGAATTTTCCTTTTGAAGGCAGGCAGGTCACATTAGACAAGATGCCAAAACAATCAGTTGTTTTATTCTTCTTATTCCTGTATTAGATGTAATTCGCCTCAGTATCCCCAGACATATAGGGCTTTCCTTTCCCCTTTTGTAGCCATTTTACTTTTGGTTAGTAAAACTGCAGGGTTGAGGGATATCATGCTAATCTACAGTGCCAAAGTGATCAGTAATAAATCAGTAATTTATGTCTACACAAAATCAAAGCAGTTAAAGGATAAGTCAGAAAAATCCATTATTTAATAGAAAACTCCGTAAGATTGAGAAGTTCTTTGACTGGCTCCTAAGAGGTTCTTATAATGTCATGGAAATAATGCTTATAAGAACTTCAAACGAAAGTTAATGAATGTTGGCAGTGCAGAAATTTAGAGGTCAAATTCTGTGTTGAAGAAACGAAAGATTATTCTAAGTTCCTACAACATAGGCATTTGTAGAACCAGACTGCATCCCTGTCACCTGCAGTGCTTCTGGAGTTTGAGTATTAAAGAGTTAACTCATCTGAGTGGAAGAGCTGGGTTTAAGAAGAAGAGGACATGATGATCCCCTTTGCACCAACATGCCTTTCTCCCTGTCCTTCTCCTTCAGGCTTCCCGGAGGATGCTGGATGATGAAATGACAGTCAGCCTTTCCCTGCCAAGCGAGTCCAGCATGTTCAACAATAACCGCTCCTCATCGCCAAGTGAGCAGGAGTCCAACTCCACTTATGATCGCATCTTTCCCCTTCGCCCTGACTACCAGGAGCCGTCCAGGCTGATACGAAAACTCCCAGAATTTGCTCCAGGGGAGGAAGAGTCAGGTGAGGATGAAAGAGTGGGCAGAGAATCGAGGGAGAAGCTTTGCTAAGTATTGTGAAGATGTGACACTATTGCTCCTACTCAACCAAATCTGGCTTTAGTCTAGAGAAGTCCACATTCTCCTGAGAAGTTCACACTCCCTTTCTAGATTTGGTGTGCTGCTGCTCAGAGCCTAATATGAGCACTTCTCCTTTGCTAATAAACATAGCAGATGTTTGGAGGGACCCACAGGGGGAAGAGGAAGAAAATAAATACGAGGTGTTACTAAGGTGTTAACACTGGAAGAACCTAAACCGGCCAACTAGTTCAGTCTCCTCATTTTATGTAGGAGCAAAGTGAGAAGGCCAAGATAAAGTGCTCACACAATACTAATCATCATTAGGGGTAAATTCAGGGCTAGAATTTCACTTGGAGAAAAAATAAATAAATGAAGCTAAAGACATCCTGGGATTCCAAGTTTCTTAGCCATCTGGATAATTGAGTTATCTCATTTTTGTTGATTTCTCTTTGGTGAAAATTTATTAGAATAACACAAGGTTTTATTATGAAAGTAGATATTTCTTGCCTTTTCCATGAAAACATTGCTTTGATAAAACAGTGCCAGTTGATTCGCATCCCAATGTTTTTAACAAGTGCAGCAGAGTGACATCAGAAGGGACGCTTGGGTGATCACTGAGGCTCAGAGCAGCTTTTCCATAAGGTCAGCAACCAAAGTGACCCAAGTCAGTAGAAGAGGACTTGTGGTGTTCAGGAGAGAGCTGGATGGAGAAGTAGATAGGGCTAAATATGAAAACAGAGGCTTTTCAAGGAGTCTTTCCGAAAGAAGAAAGGAAACTAACACGTATTCATCACTCAGTGGATAGCAGACATGGAAAGAGCTCATTGAACTCAGGGAATTTTACAGAGACAGCAAGAAAAAAATATATAAACTGATTTATTTCCTAGGCTGAACTGAAGTAATTTACCTATTTTCTGAAGTCTAAAACATCCCCGTCGCCTCATATTTTAATGTTTTTTTTAAGTTAGGATGTGTCTTAAACTAGATCATATAAAGTTAATCAGAAAGTTCTTTAATCCCTAAAATGAATTATTAAATCTGTGAAGGTATCTTAAAATTAAGAAAATATGCTATTAAATCTTCAACTTTTAATACTCCCACTCCTATATATCATGAACCTTCCTATAGCTTCACCACAATTCCACAAGATTAGCCAAGGAGGTTGTTAGTGACCATGTAATATGAGGAGAATAATAAGAGATAAAATGATGCCCTGTATTCTGAAGGCCACAAGAGTCTCTAGAGGAGCCGTTCTCTAAATAAGAATGTTGTGGAGTAGATTAGGCTGTCTTAGTGGCATGTCCTAGCCCTCCTCTCAGATTTTCTTCCTTGGAGAGATCTCCAAAGATGCCCCTTGGAATGAGACTCATTGCCACTGTCTTCCAGGCTGCAGCGGCATTGTGAAGCCGGTCCAGCCCAATGGGCCTGAGGGGGTGCCCCACTATGCAGAGGCTGACATTGTGAACCTCCAGGGCGTGACTGGAGGCAACACCTACTCAGTGCCTGCTGTTACCATGGACCTGCTCTCAGGAAAAGACGTGGCTGTGGAAGAGTTCCCCAGGAAACTCTTAACTTTCAAGGAGAAGCTGGGAGAAGGCCAGTTCGGGGAGGTGAGTTGAATCTTTGAGTGGTCCCTCCTCTTCTTGGTAGCTTAAAGGTAGTGATTGAATAAAACCAATTGGTAGAGTGAAGTTTCCCTTCCAAAGTGGATTCACAGCTGAATGTCTCCACCAGTTATCTTTCCTTGCATTATCCTCCAGAAGACTAGCATTGGGTCAACCTCATCTTTGTCAAATAGCTGTGGAATTCCTGGGTCTTCTGATCTTTGTATAGGAGTTTTTAAAGCAGGCAAAGTCTCTAGACTTCAGATACCCTGAAAAATATTCAGTATTTTCAAAAATTTTTACAACAGGTTACAGAGGGTGGAGACCCATAAGATGTGATCATCTTTTATAAACTGTCCAAGAACACCCTGCTACTTGATAGCCACTTTGTTTTTCTCCTTTTAATGGGAGTTGTATGTAAAATGGTCAAAAACAACCTCCCCCCTGCCTTTGGTCCCAGAATCAGCCACTAGGCAATGAATCACCAACTACGATAAGGAGGAACACTCTTCCCAATTGCCCTCAGAAGGATGCATGTAATATTTGACTTTTCACTCTTACGTCAGTCACATGAACCTTCTGAGAACTCAAAGCAATGATTTAAGTGGCAACAGGAGTTCTTCAACACTGCCATCTACACTCCAAGTGTAACACTTGGTTTCAGAAGAATGTGCTATTGGTTTTCTGTGTCGGTGGCATGCTTTACCCTTGGGTAGGTTTGGTGCTGGTGGAGGTTGAAGGGTCCATGGCATCTGTTGTGGTGTTATATGTACTCCTTCTGTCCCCTGGGTTGAAAACACAGGCTCGTTCTACTGTTCTAATACATAGGGGTTCCTTATAAGGCTAATCTCATACTAAGGGATTACCTTAGAGAGGAAATTGCCTTGTGTTTGTATGATCCAGTAACTAAACTTTCTTGAATCAGAGTTCAAGCATTTATACCAAATGGCGTTTTATAGTGGGTAATAAAATACTGTAGTAAAATACTATGTTATAGATTCATTCATTCACATATTTAATGTTCCAGTCAATGTATATTTCTTTTATAAAGCAGTAACATATCATATCAGCTGGGTACTTTACCGTTGTTTTTAATCAATTATGTGAATCAAAGATATGTTACACATATCTTCTTATTGGTCTTTTGATTATTTTGTTTGAGTTGTAAGAGTTAGTTTATCTCCAGGAAATGCCCAGCAAGAGTACTGAGACATCTTCAGGAGAAATGATGATGCTGAGACTAGATGACTTTTGTCTAGGTTCATCTCTGTGAAGTGGAGGGAATGGAAAAATTCAAAGACAAAGATTTTGCCCTAGATGTCAGTGCCAACCAGCCTGTCCTGGTGGCTGTGAAAATGCTCCGAGCAGATGCCAACAAGAATGCCAGGTCTGTGGTCTGAATTTTGAATTTTCCTTTATGTATTTCATCTTCAGGATCAGGAACACTCCTGAAAAATTTGAACAATTTTTTCTTTTGAGATGGGAAGGTCTTAGAGCTGCCTCACGTTTCTATTGTTAGGCTTTATTTTGCTGATGGGTCAGCAGTCCTTACCTTTGTTCTCCATCTCTCTCAAACACAAATATACATTTTCCATTGTATTTGCTGCATATTTACTTCCTAACTCCCTTTGCACAGCATTGTACTTTTCAACATACACAACAGTCGGAATATGTACTTCTTCAATCATTATACACAGACATACTCCTGAATGTCATTACCTCCTCTCGGCAAACTTGAAAATCACGCACATCTTTCTTGCTAAGCCTCTTCCATTCTCCTTTTTTTCGCATCTCTATTTACTTTCTCATCCCTTTTTTTCTCTTTTATGCTCCTTTTCTTCTGTGTCCAGCAACCCCCAAAATGAGAAGCTACCTCTACTCGGAAAAGTACCCATGGACCTCAAACAAAAGGATCCACAGTCCTTTAGCAGTTTTTCAAACTGGCTAATAATCTCTTGGATCCTTTACTACATAAATTGCAGTTTCCAGCCATACTTCGTTGTCTGACAGCCTTTCCATTACAGTAATGGTGAGTTAATCCTCACCCAGAGAGGCATGCTGATTGAAAGCTGGTTGTATGTGTCTCAGAGAAATCTGCACATCTGGGTAACATATGCATTTTCCCATTTGTGTTGGCTTGATTTGTCTCACTGATATTCAAAGTGAGAGAAATTTTATTATCCTTATTCCCCAAATATCATAAATTCCAAGAAGGGTGATAAGGTTCCATTAAAAGTCTTGCAATTGACAGGATGTAGAATGAAGAAGAAAGAAAGGTGAGGGAACAGAATTGTGGAGGTCTTGGAATTTTAACTGAGAATTTTAATCTTAAGGATATTAGGATGAATAAAAAGTGACATCCTCTGGGTCCCCTAGAGAGATGGAGTATTCCTACCATTAATCTTAACTCATGAGTGGATAAAGTGGCAAGCAGAGGGAAGAACCATATGATATGAGAAAGCCTTTACCCATTGTTTTGGTTGGTGAGGTTTGGTGTCCCTCCACCTGTGCCCACTCCAATTTAGCAATGATGGGTGGCCTAGACTCTGGGCCCTCCCGAGACATGGAAACCTCTGGTTTGGGTAGAAGGGAGAATGAAACAGGGGAGGCATTGCATGGGACTACGTGGAATTCCAGGGTTTTATATTGACCTGGTATGACTCCCAGTCCAGGATTCCTAGACAGCTCACAGGAGACTTAAAACTGATCTGCTCCAACGGTTTTGAGAATGTGGGCTAGTGGTCTCACTAACTCAAATATTGCTACTGGGAAGGTTATAGCCCACTTTGTGATTCAAGGGTGGCTGTCACCATGTACTCAAACAGGTATTAGTCTTGGCCAACTGAGTACCTCTTTTGAAATAATCCCACATCGCCACCATGACCTTTAAACAGCTCTGTTTTGAGCAAACTACTAAATGTGTGTTGCAACTGACTGCTATTGCACCCTGTTTTAAGAGAAGCCAGTATGAGAAAATAAATAATTATAAGATAAATCAGAGGGTGATTATTCACTTTATAAAAAGTGTCTTCACTTTATTAACAGAATGACTCCATGGCTTTTTAAAAAGTTAAATACCCTAGTGCATTCAAGATATGATTTCCAGTGAAAAGTTTCATTATGCAGAGTAGTGTTTAGTAGCATATATTTGATTCAGCAAATATTAATCATTTTCGATGTGGCATGTCTTTTGTGGGATACTAGGGATACAAATGTGAATAAGTCATGGTTCATGTTCTCAGAAAGATTACTGTTGGGTAAGGGTGCATCATATTCCAGGATGAGTAGAATGAGACAGTTTCTAGGTGCCAATTCTCTGCCCTTTCAAAGGTTATCCAAAGGGAAACAAGATTTGGTGTCACGGATAGGACTAGACTTTGCTGTGTCTTCTTCCTCCTCTTGCTTCTAACTCTGGCAACCTCTGGGTTTATCTATGTCCGTGTCCTCCAAAGGAATGATTTTCTTAAGGAGATAAAGATCATGTCCCGGCTCAAGGATGCAAACATCATCCGTCTTCTAGCTGTGTGCATCACTGATGATCCTCTCTGCATGATCACTGAGTACATGGAGAATGGAGATCTCAATCAGTTTCTTTCCCGCCATGAGCCCCCCGATTCTTCCTCCAGCAACGTACCCACAGTCAGGTAAATAACCCAGGTCTTCCGTCTCTTCCCTGTGTTCATGAGACTAACATGGGATGTGAAGATGGGCAGCAGTGAGCCTTAAAGTTCATCAATGTTCTGGGATGGTCGGGGAGGTTAGTGTGCAGGGAATAATGGAGTGACTGCACTTTGAGGGAAAACAAAGAGATACATGAAGAATAGAGATGAGATGTTGAGTACCCAGTTCGTTGGTACCAACTTTAGAATGTGTACCTGTCACGGCTTCCTTTTTCCATAGGCTACTTTCTCTCTTGTTTTATATTTCCTCAGTTATGCCAACCTGAAGTTTATGGCTACCCAGATTGCCTCTGGCATGAAGTACCTTTCCTCTCTTAATTTTGTCCACCGAGACCTGGCCACACGAAACTGCTTAGTGGGTAAGAACTATACCATCAAGATAGCTGACTTTGGAATGAGCAGAAACCTGTACAGTGGTGACTACTACCGGATCCAGGGCCGGGCAGTGCTCCCTATCCGCTGGATGTCTTGGGAGAGCATCTTGCTGGTGAGTTCCCAGCATTTGTAAGCCCTACCCTAGCAGCTGACATGTAGGTAGGCGTGCCTGGCATGTAGGGACAAATCTGAGACAGCAGGAAGCAAACAATAGACTTCGATATTTTCTTTGACTTGAAATGATTTTCTTCGTGTGCTAATAATTATTATTTTTTAACATTTGCCTATTTCTGCTGATAAAATGTAACATGCTTGCTATAGACAATTTGGGAAAAAAAGTTAAAAGTATACCCATAATGATAAGGGATTTAGTATCATTTTTTTTCTCTCTACTCTTTCTACCTACTGATTGGTCTTAATTAATTTAGGGTATTAAAGAACTTATCATTTAAAGAAATGTTTTGGCATTCCTTGTCCTGGGTAGAGGAAGGGGGATAACTCCAGATTATGAAAATCTAATCTGCTCTTGTGCACAAGTTATTCTGGTTTTCTCTTATTTTCCTTACTTCAACAGGGCAAATTCACTACAGCAAGTGATGTGTGGGCCTTTGGGGTGACTCTGTGGGAGACTTTCACCTTTTGCCAGGAGCAACCCTATTCCCAGCTCTCAGATGAACAGGTCATTGAGAATACTGGAGAGTTCTTCCGAGACCAAGGGAGGCAGGTGAGGACTGTTGGGGAAGGATGGATGTGGACTTGGGTACTTTTGAAGGAGAGAGAAAGGAAAGTCCTGACCTAGCAGGGTAGGCCTGAGCTGGATGATGGGTTACCTGGGAGATAGTCTTTTGTTGCTAATTATCCAAATCATGTGAAAGACCAAGGTCCTCCCCAGGCATCATAGACTCCGCTTCATCTGTGTGTCAACCCACTGATCATTGGAGGGTATGAGGGGGTCACATCACAGATACCTACTCAAAGATACCAGGAAATAAAATCCTATCTCTCATGTTTGATCCATTTCTTAATCTAGACTGTGTGGGTTGTCCTTTTGGTTGAAAAAAATAAGAACAAAAATGTAAGTGTAAAAGTGAATAAGAGTTTTATTAGCATTAGTTAAAAATTTAGCAATGTTTCTAGACTTATATGCCCAGAGATGATCAGGTCCAGCTGTTGTGGCCCCTTGGGGCTCAGGAAAAGCTCAGTTTCTAAGAAGACAAAGGTACTAATTCCTAGCTAAGACACTGTAAGATTTCTTTGGTTGGCTCAGTTTTTAAAGTTCCTTTGAGATGTGGGATTTAAAGCTTGCTGATTGGCTGGAGCACTGAACCTCTGCAGAGTGGCCTGGCTGCAGCACACCCTGGGAGTGGGGCATCTCAAGCAGGAAAATGATAACAGCTGGGGAGAGGGCAAAGACTCTTGCAGAAAATAAAAAGCAGATCTTCTGTGGCTTAAATAGATCCAAGCAAGCAAAAGATAAAGGAATGACAAGAGATAATGCAATATGCAGGTTGAAAATAAGAGAGAAACGTTCTGGAATTGAATTTTATCTTGACATTCTGTAGATATTTTGGTATCAAGGGATCTAAATTATCCATCTTGGTTGTGAGGTAATTGCTTTCTTACCATGGCGAAGGGCACATTTACTCCTGTGTGCGTGAGATAAGTGAGTGGACCAAGGAAAGATGTTGTTTTTTCTCCTGAACTAATACATCACGGTCACCAGGTGGACCTATTGGAAGTCCCATGGCCAATTGACACTGAGGCTTGGAAGTCTATAACAATAATTTCAGTAATTAAAAAATGTATTTGACATTTTTGTTTTCAATTTATCTTTAAGTGTGAAGAATTCCCGGAGAGTACTTTTCTTGAAAGCTCATGGTCTAAATGGAATTAATTAAAAATCAAATACAGTTTTAAAAGTTTATTTTGTTTAATATTACGAAAGGTAATAAAATTCTACAAATGTGATAAGAATTATTATGAAATATAACTTCGATTATTTGCCGAGTTTATATGATTTTGAAAAGGGCAGCCCTAAGAATTTAAATTATTTATTATTTCAATTTTATTAACATTTGTTGGCTCAAAAGAGATAACAATATTTCTTCTAAAGTTGTTTAACGAACACCTTAGAAAAGGCTTACCAGTTTTAAGTTTCACCAGTAGTATACGAGAGTGCCTGTTATCTTGTATCCTTATTTATATTGGTAATATTTCCTTTTAAATGCTTGGAATTTCATAACCATAGATACATTGTTACATACATAGTAATTTGTAACATACTGAGTTAGGCTTGTCAGATCTCATCAGATATTCCAATAGAAGTCACAGTTATTTGTCTTTTTTTTTTTTTTTTTGTAGGGAAGATTAGCCCTGAGCTAACATCTGTTGCCAATCCTCCTCTTTTTGCTGGGAAGATTGGCCCTGGGCTAACATCCGTGCCCATCTCCCTCTACTTTTTTAAATATGTGGAACGCCTGCCACAGCATGGCTGGATGAGTGGTGCGTAGATCTGCGCCCTGGATCCGAACCTGTGAACCCCAGGCCACCGATGCGGAGTGCCTTGAACTTAAACACTATGCCACCGGGCCGGCCCCTATTTGCCTTTTTATTTGTTAATTAAGAGCCACTGGCAGAAAGCTCCTTGACATCAGTCTTAGGGATGATGATCTGGATTTGAGACCAAAAGCAAAGGCAACAAAAGCAAAAACGAACAAGTGAGACTACCTCAAAGTAAAAAGCTTCTGTACAGCAAAGGAAACCATCAACAAAATGAAAAGGCAACCTACCAAATGGGAGAAAATATTTGCTAATCACATATCTGATAAAGGACTCATACAACTTAATAGCAAAAAACCAAATAATCCAATTAAAAAATGGGCAAAGAGGGCTGGCCTGGTGGCATAGTGGTTAAGTTCACGCACTCCACTTCGGCAGCCCGGGGTTCACAAGTTTGGATCCTGGGCGCAGACCTACGCACTGCTTATCAAGACATGCTGTGGCGGCGTCCCAAGTAAAGTAGAGGAAGATGGGCACAGATGTTAGCCCTGGGCCAATTTCTTCAGCAAAAAAAGAAGAAGATTGGCAACAGATGTTAGCTCAGGGCTAATCTTCCTCCCCCCACCAAAAAAAAATATGGGCAAAGAACCTGAATAGACATTTTTCCAAAGAAGATATTAAAATGGCTGGTAAGTACATGAAAAGGTGCTCAATATCACTAATCATTAGGGAAATGCAAATCAAAACCACAATGAGATACCGCCTTGCATCTGTTAGAATGGCTATTATCAAGAAGACAAGAAATAACAAGTGTTGGCGAGGATGCGGAGAAAAGGGAACTCTTGTGCACTGTTGGTGGGAATGTAAATTGGTACAGCCACTATGGAAAACAGTATGGAGGTTCTTAAAAACATTAAAAATAAAGCTAACATATGATCCAGCAATTTCACTCCTGGGTATTTGTCTGAAGGAAATGAAAACACTAACTTAAAAAGATATATGCACCCCCACATTCACTGCAGCATTATTTACAATAGCCAAGACATGGAAGCAACCTAAGTGTCCATCAATGGATGAGCAGATAAAAAAAATGTGGTATGTGGAGTGGAATGTTATTTAGCAATGGAATATTATTTAACCATAAAAAAGAAGGAAATCTTGCCATTTGTGACAACATGGATAAACCTTGAGGGCATTATGCTGAGTGAAATAAGTCAGACAGTGAAAAACACATACCACGTGATTTCACTTAAATGTGGAATCTAAAAAAAAAATGAACTCATAGATACAGAGAACAGGTAGTGGTTGCCACAGGTGGGGTGGGGGTGGGCAAAGTGGGTGAAGGTGGTGAAAAGGTAGAAATTTCTAATTATAAAATAAATAAGTCCTGGGATATAATGTACAACATGGTGACTACAGTTGATAATATTGTATTGTATATTTGAAAGTTGCTAAAAGAGTGTATCTTAAAAGTTCTCATCACAAGGAAAAAAATTTTGTAACTGTGTGTGGTTATAGTTGTTAACTAGACTTATTGTGGTGATCATTTCACAGTATATACAAATATGAAATCATTTTATTATACACCTGAAACTAATATGATGTTATATGTCAATTATATTTCAACAAAAAAAATAGTTGATAGGCAGAGGGAATAAGCAGACTCTGGGCAAAGAAGAGCTCCTATGATGTATGATATAGGGTGATGTGGTATGGGAGAAGGCAGGGCAGGAGGAAGTGGTTAATGATTAAGATGTTGGATCCATGGTTCAAGAGCTTGGGAAATTTAGGTATGGTTCAGGAATATGTCAATATACCAGAGTATTCAAAACATAGGTAAAGAGATGACAGCAATAGATTCTAGGCAAGCAGAAGGTGGCCTGGGAGTCAATAAAGTGGCATCTTATTGGTGGAAGTAGTCAGTAACTAATGCTTTGGGAGTAGTGCCAAATATAGCCCTAGCCTGGAATGCAGGGCTATAGAGAGGGTAAATGCACAGATGCTGGTGAATAATGTAAAGAAGAAATCCAATCTCCTCTATCTGGTACCAATACAGCGGGGAGGGAGCACAGAGGACATTATGGTTAGGAGCTACATGGATACATCCTGCATCCCAGTTTCTTCTTCTGGCTAAGATTTTATTCCAATTGAAGAGCTGAGGCAACTAATCTACTTTCTGCCCCTGCCATGATTGGCTCAGCCAAGATAAACCTCAACATGGCCTGGACCGTAAATGGAGGATCTGGTGTTCTAACCACTTGCTTTCCAGTCTGAGATCTCTTTTTGCTTCAGTTTCAACTTTTGCATGATGGTGGGGACCACAGAATGGCCCATCAGGAAATCCTGCTCCAGAGAACTGGAAAAGACAGAGGGGATGGGCAAGGGACCGATATGAGTTCGAATTCTCATGAGTAGGAAGAACAGACACCACACTCGTTTCAGTTATCAAGTTCAAGAAAGTGGGGAGTGGGCAATCAAACTGAGATGCAACTACTCCTCCTTTTCTCTCCCTCTTCTTAATATTCTCTTTTTTTTTGTTCATTTTTGTTTCTGTAGACGTATCTCCCCCAGCCTGCCATTTGCCCTGACTCTGTATATAAGCTGATGCTCAGCTGCTGGAGAAGAGACACCAAGCACCGTCCCTCGTTCCAGGAAATCCACCTTCTGCTCCTTCAACAGGTGGACGAGTGATGCTGTCAATGCCTGGCGACGTTCTGATGGCCCAGGTCCTCCTCACAAGACCTACCACTCACCCACGCCTAAGCCACTCCATCTGGACGTTGAATGGGCCTGAGAGACAGAGGCCGTTTGCTTTTCTCTGTCTCTGTCCCTCGTCTCCCTCCACTCCACTCCCTCACTGTCTACCCCCAACCCATATATACATTTTTTTTTTTACATTAAAGAACTAAAAAAGAAAAAAAAAAAAGCCTAGGGCAGATAAAATCTAGTAAAGAAATCTTACTTGATATACCAAAGTGTTGGATAACGAAGGCTAGATAATTTAGATAATTTATAAAGGTTAAATATGCTTGTGTTTATAAATGTGCAGATTCTACAATATTTTTTCTCTACGTCACCTTTAAAAAAATATTTTCAGAAAGAAAAACTTGAAGAGCACTAATTCCTTAGGAAACATGAGTTAGGCTTAGGGAAAACCCTTGGTAAGTGTGGAGAATCTGATGAAATGGTATTCAGTAACTGATCACAGATGGCTTAGTTTCCTAATTTGGCCTCTGGACATGTCCTATACTCCACATTTCCCTCTCTTGTCAAAGTAGATGATATGTGCTTGGAAAACTCCAGCTTCTTGGAATGGGTGTTTTGTTCATTCACAGGTAGGGGTCATGGTTGAGGTCCATATACATTGGAAATACAGAGGATGTGCATAGGAAAGAATGTTTACTGCAAGGTAGTATGAAGGGGAATTGTCATTTGCAAACAAAAAGTACCTCATGCACGGAAGGATCCTTGACTAGAGAATGGACACAGGAAAAGAGGCCTATGGAGGACAGGTAACAGGTGTGCTATTCTTTTCTGCGGTGGGTCCCTCCTCTTTATCCTGTTCAGACATTTTCAGGTGTGTGTTTTAGTGAGAGCCTGATTTTGAATCAGTAAAAACTGGTATTTCGATATCTTGATCTTAGACCCTTTGGTTCATCTTCTCCAAATCTTCCAGCTCTTTTAATGGCTGAATCACCTATGGGACCTGTGGGCTGGGGTTGAATTTCTCAGGCATTCATATCTGAAGGCCATGCACAATAGGGTATAGATCTGTCCTGAGTGTTCCCAAAGGGTTGACCTAGGACCAATGAGGGGAAGTTACAGGGAGATTGACTTCCACTCCTTATTGGAGAAAACACAGCCAGAGGCAGACCATACAAGGAGGAGTGGGCTGTCTCCAGAGTGGGGAGTCCTTTGTCACTGAAAAGTTTCAGATATAGGCTGAAGAACTAGGCAGGAAAGATGTAGGCTTTCAACCACATCAAACAAGATAAGTGGTTGTGTAAGATGGTGTTTCAAGTCTTTCTAACCCTAAGAGTCCCTGAGAGGCACAGGGTGAGCATGATAGAGAAGTCAGCCAGTGCTGCTGCTTAGTATATACACTCTTGCTTTGGAGGTGGTATGACCAGCAGAAAAGACAGCATGAGGCTCTGGTTTCAGAATTCATGGGAACTGATACGCTGCCAACTAAGAGTCCCCTCAGAGCAGATTCTGAGCTTTCACGCTCCACAAATCCTCAGATGCAGTGGGAAGCAGGAAAAGGGAACCCTCAATTCCCACTGAGGAGAAACAGACAAGATTATAGAGTAAGCTTCCTAAGCTTAGAAGAAATAGTCTTGGCCCCTTGGGTCTGCTCTGTTGCCCTCACCCAGCCCACTTTCTACATAGTCCCTCAGGAACTTGAGTGTTCCCCAGTTCAGCCTTCAGCATTGCTCCAGGCTACAGCAGATGCGTAAATCCCAAATCCCCAAGATTCGTTTTAAAGGTCACCATCCTTCCCCTAGCAAATACTCTTTCCCCACAGTTGTCCTGTGACTCTGGTGTCTCGTCTCTCCCAGGACTAACTTTGGAGAGATCATTGGTTTGGGAGTCAGGAGAGCATTGTTTTGGGAGCTTTGGTCCTATTTCTGCCTCAAGCCAAGAGTGTCATCTTGGACAAGTCATTTTGCCTCTTTGTCCTTTTGTTTTCTTATCTATAAAATGAGGAAATTGGATTAGGCGGTCTAGAAGTCTCTCTCAGTTCTGATGTGTTCAGTATTCTCTGGATAATTTGATCTACAATTGACATGGACTCAGTTATCTGGTCATTTCCTCCCCTGAAAATTGTGGTCAGCAAAAGGGATCATGCGGGGAGGTTACTATAATAGTAGTAACGGTAACACCTACAAATTGTACGGTGCTTTAAAGTTTTCTGTGTGTTTCCACATACATTATCTATTTGATAATGTGCAGGGTCAGACATGTTCTCTTATTACATTGGGCCTGTCACACTCTGCTTTCAGGATCAGTGTTAAATTCATGTATTATTCAGAGAAACAAAACTAACATATATATATATACACACACACACATATACACATATATATATGATTTATTATAAGGAATTGGCTCACACAATTATGGAGGCTAAGAAATCCCACGATCTGCCATTTGCAAGCTGGAGACCCAGGAAAGCTGGTGGTGGTGTAGTTCTGAGAACCAGAGACCAATGGTGTAAGTCTCAGCGGAGGGCAGAAGACTGACATTCCAGCTCAAGCAGTCATCAGAAAGTTAATTCCCCCTTCCTCTGTCTTTTTCTTCTGTTCAGGCCCTCAATGGATTTGATGATGCCCACCCACATTGGGGAAGGCAATCTGCTTTACTCAGTTCACTGATTCAAATGCTAATTTCATCCAAAAACACTCTCACAGACACACCCAGAAATAAGTTTAATCTGGGCATCCCATGTCCCGATAAAGTTGACACATAAAATTAATCATCACACTTCAATAGAATTAAATGGACTTGAAGTCGGGGCCTGCAGTCTATTCTTTATCGACCTTCCTCTTGTAGGGCTACTTCCAGACCATGCCATGACTTCTTATGTGGCAAGAGAAATTAGTATCATTTTCCCTTCCTTTGCCTAACATCTCTGCACTTATTTCTTTTTACAGTTCTGTCTCAATTCATTGAATTTCATGATCCCATATAAAAAAATCACATTTAAAATGAACTTAGTGTGTCTGCATTTTCCTGGCCTTCAGTCAGAGAAGTAATCTGTTTCAGGTGGCTAGCAAATATATGTTATCATGTAGAGTTATCCTTTTCTGGGATGAGGAAGGCTCCATTTTCTGGCACTGAGACTTTTTATTACAGACAAAGGTTTAAATTCCAATCTAGTCATGCCCATAGAGCTTAGCAGCATAAATCTAAGAGATGCGACAGAGTCCATGGTGAAGGCTTAGTATGCAGAATTTAAAAGTAGCTCGAATCTAAATGAGAAGAATGAAGCTAGGAATTATTTAGAAAAAGAGAAAGGAAAAGAGATGAGAAACTGCGGGGCCTTGTTGCCTTTGTAGTAAGTTATACTCTCCATGATATATGTGAAATATTTTATGTCTGGATTGTGGTTTTGGGCCATCAGATTTAAATTTATACTCTTGCTGGTTAATGTGCTGATAACTAGGTCCAAATCTTGATGTGCTGTCCAGACACATATGTGCTCAGAAAGATCTGTAGGGGAAAGAGGCACCCGAGGGGGAAATGTGGTTTTAATGCTGTGGAAAGAACACTTTCGAGTGTACAAGATGGTATAACAGAGAGCATTGTATGGAAGTGGAGTGAAAAATGAATAAACGAATGTGCATGAGACTGAATGGGGAGGCGGGTGGGGGTTAGAAAGAAGGTGACATAAAAGAGGTAATGGAGAATGCTCCAGAAGGGCTGGGGAAGGTCAGGGCAAGCAAGGTAGAAACAGATGCACTGTTGAGAATACATTCTGAAGCATGAAAGCAAATCTCTCTGAAGAGAGATCTGAGAGATGGCAGAAAAAGTAAGTGTCTTGAAGATAAAAGATAAATATATATGGAGAGAGAAGAAACTCTGGATGATAGAGATTATAAAAATATTTATTAAAAAAAGAGAAGTCAGGTGCAGTGGGTGAAATGGAAAGGGGCTTTTCAGGGTTTTAAGAAAGGGGAAGTCCGTCACGAACATGAAACACATCAGCAACCATCACGGAGGGATCTTTTCATTTCAGAGGGAGTGAGGAAGGGAGGCCGTTCGAGCATCTGCATATTCTAGCTAGACCACTTCAGGTGCTGGGGTTTAATGCTGGTGAGAAGAAATAAACTCTTTGCCTGAACTGGACTTGGTTTTCCAAGTGCTGCTTTGGAAATGAAGACCCAGAGATGGGGAATTGATGATAGTTCACGGATCTTTGTGTTCCCCTCTCTTGCTTCTGTGAATGAAATTCATTTTAAATAATGCTCTTCATTGCTGTGCCCAGAAAGGCCAGAGGGAAACGCTGAAACAATAGGCTTAAGTTAGACTAGACTAAATCTTGTTTGATATCTGCACAAAGAGGTATGTGCCATGTTGGAACCATGTGTTTTTCCAGTCCCGTGCAGGCTTCCCACAAGAAAGCCATGATGCGGGGCTAAGCCATGTGTTTTGAGTAAAGGAGAAAAGAAGAAGGGAAGTGTCTGAAAGAGGGAAAAAGATGAAGATGTTCCAAGGAAATATTCTAAAACAGAACAGCATCTGTTTTGCCCAAAACTAAAAAGAATGAAGAAAATTACAGTTAAGACTTATAATACTCCCAATATATAGCTATTAAGTCTTTGATCCTAAATTGAATTTATGGACCTGCCATCTTCGTCTTTTCAGTGAGACCTCTGACCTCTGGCAGTGCATATGGTAGGTCCCTAAATGTTTCTGGAAGTTGCAGATCTAGATCTACCCTGGGAAATCCTTCTGAATTGAAAATTAACATTTTTATAGAAACAGATTAATGCCTTTTCCACTTGGTAAATGTCTTGAAATGCTGAATTGCGAGGGAAAGAGGAGGGAATGGTGATTCAATTTCTGGCATTTTGAGTTCTCTGCTACAATTAGCTGCATTGTTTGGTGGCAGAGTGTGGTAGGTAATTGTTTAGTTGCCGTATCCTTTTTTTTAAACTTGTTATCTTGAAATAGTTTAAGATTCACAAGAAGTTGCAAAAATAGTACAGAATAGACTTACCCTGACACCAGGCCTTCCCCACTGGTAACTGTCCATTTTCAAAACCAGAAAATTGACATTGGTCTAATACTAACTAAACTACAGACCTTACTCAGATTTTATCAGTTTTTCACGCGTACTGATTTCACTTCTGGATACTTTTCACCATGCTGATCTGTAACCCGTTCTTGCTTGGATGCGGTGGGACAGACACTATCTGGATACAATACCACAAAATTCTGAAGAGAATATAACAAATTAACCTGTTCCTTTATCAATGAGCAATATCCTGCCTAGACTGCGTCCACATTTTCTGACTAGTTTGGCTGTTTAGCATCTAGAACAATCCAAAAGCAGCTTAGAAGGATTCAGCAACACA